TTTTTTGGTTTTTCGAGACAGGGTTTCTCTGTGGCTTTGGAGCCTGTCCTGGAACTAGCTCTGTAGACCAGGCTGGTCTCAAACTCACAGAGATCCGCCTGCCTCTGCCTCCTGAGTGCTGGGATTAAAGGCGTGCGCCACCATCGCCCGGCTTTGCTGTCCTTTTCTCATGTCTCTTGCCCCTTCTGTTTTCCCCTCCAGGGCCCAGGCTCCCAATTTGCGTCCCGCTGGTCGGGACATACATGCATAAGTCAACAATATATGTCATCTACGTACTCTTTTTCTGAAGGAAATGACATTCCAAGAGTAATGAGCATCAAATTGTAGTCTATAAAGACAATTTTCCATTTAAAAAGAGGTGCTGAGGATTTAATTTGCTGTCATGTGTGAGGCCCCTAGACTAGATTCCCAGTATGTATTTAATACAGACATACACAAATAGACACACAGACATACACACACAAATACATACACCACACACACACATACTCACATATATACACTTTTTAAGACAAGGTCTCATATCTCCAAATCCAGCCTCAAACTCACTATGTAATGGATGACATCGAATTTCTGATCCTTTGGCCTCCAAATCCCAAGTGTTGGGATTACACACAACCAGTAAATACTTTTGAAATTGTTTTTAAAGGCAAAACGATAGGGTTCCTTGGGAGGGATTGTATCAGGACTAGAGAAGAAATATAAGAGAGAGAGTGAAGCCTACACCATACAAAAAAGCAGCAAAGAGGGAAACAAAGGAAGTCGCGAGCACTCGGCTGAAACTCTAATTTTGGTGGCATTGGGCATTGTTCTTGAGGCATTCCTACTACTGTTATTAAGGGGTCACACACCCCGCCCCCCCTTAAAGCTATCCAATGCCTGCATATCACACTGAAAGGCAGCAAGCACCCTTACAACATCCCGTAAGATTCAGTGATATACAAGTAACAGGGAATCTGCAAATACTGCAGGCTAAGAGTCATATGGTGAAAATATTTACACCAGAGAAATCATCAAATGCTGCAAATCAAGACCTTCTGTTTATTTCGTTCCTGGCAATCAGGTTACTAAGTACTTGGCCATAGGAAGTGCTGTGTTAGTCCGCTTTCCGTCACTGCGATGAAATACCTGAGGAAAAACACTTAAAAAAAAAGAAATTTCCAACTTATCTCCAGCATCGGTCATTTCAATCCCCGGTCTCTTAGGCCTGTAGCTTGGGGCCTGCAGGAAAGCTGAATGCAAAGGCAGGAGCATATGACAGAGCTGCTCAGCTCAGGGTGGTCAGGAAGCAATGAGAGCGCCAAAGAGCGAGTGGGGCGGGACTTTAGCTAGTGCCCACTCCAGCCTCAGTTCCCACTTCTCCCAACGGCCCATTTAGGTATGCTTTCTCCCTCTCGGCATCTCATAGCCCGTGCCTCATCCATTCAGCTTGCTAAGCAAGTGTTACATCGAGAGACTTATTCTCCACACCTCACCTCGGGCTGTCATAGTCTTCCAGGTATTTCCATCTACTCAGTATTTCATGCTTTGTTTTGTTTTGTTTCCTGACCACTGTTCGTTCACCCATTGCCACTATGAGCAGGAATGTACACTGGTGTAGCCACTGTAGAAAGCAGTATGGAAGTTTCTCAAAACTAAAACTACCTCCTGCCTGAGCTACATTACTTCCGGGTATGCACACCTGAAGGAGCCTGACGTCCTGTCACAGAGATGCTTGCACATCCGGGCTTATTGCTACACTATTCACCCTGTTAGGAAGCGGACCCAGGCTGGATGAATGGACAAAGTAAGGGTAACTACACACAGTGAAAGTTACTCTGCCACAAAGAAATCATGGCACTTTCAGGAAACAGATGGAACCAGAGCTCATTGCATTCATTCACACTCAGGTCAAACGCCATGTTTTCTCTCATATGTGGATCCTAGATTCCACCCTACCCCAACCCCCAAGTTTTTTCTTTTTCTTCTCTTTCTTCCTCCCTCCCTCCCTCCCTCCCTTCCTCCCTTCCTTCCTTTCTGTCTTTTTTGTCTTTTATGGTTTTATTGAGACCTGGTTTCTCTGAGTAGCCCTGGCTGCCCTGGAACTCACTCTGTAGATCACTCTGTAGATCTGCGGCCTCAAACTCACAGATGTACCTGCCTCTGCCTCCAGAGTGCTGGGATTCAAGGTGTTCACTACCACACTCAGCTGTGGATCCTATATTTTAATTTTTATACAAGTGTGGAAGAGTGTAGGAATAGGTCACAAAATGAGAAAGGGGACAGTGAGAATGGGAAATGAGTTCTTAAGGAAGCCGAGAGAAGAACATGGAAAATAAGGGAACAGAGTACATTTTCCATGAAGCAGAAGAAAACTGGGGAAGGGAGTGGACCAGCTGGTGGGGATGGGGGTGGAGCAAAGAGGCGACAGAAATAATGTATGCACAAAAGCCACAACAAAACCCATCACTTTGTATTACTAACTTTAAAACACTAATAAAAAAGTTAAAATATAAAGATAATAAAAGTACTAAAAATTCTGGTGAATACACAGAGATTGTCAAATTTTACTTGACCAAAACACTCAAATGTGTGTTACTTGAAAAATAAATCACTTATAATAACACAGGTTTAAAGTATAAGGGCAAAAGGGACGCTCATGCACACAGTGTAATGAACTCATTTCTCATACAGATGCTGAGCTATCCAATGAGGAAAAATTATGGTTGGAATTAAAGGTCATGGACCAATGGATATCCATACATAATAAAATAAACTTTGACTCCTACTGCACTGTGGACACGAAAACCAGCCCAATAAACCAGAGATAGACAAAAGTGGTGACATTCCTAGAAAACAAAGACAGAAAAGCTAAGCACAGTGTCAGCCATGCTTAAGGTCCCACAGACGTGGAAGGCTGAGGCAAGCAGACGGGTCCCTTTAAGTCCAGGTGTTCAGGCACAGCGTGGCTAGCACAGCGAGACCCAATTCTAAATAAGGACATGGATAAAAGAAGCCTGGGGAAAATATTCACAAAGGTGAGGGAGGTAAAGATCTAAGAGATTACAATTTTATTAAGATTTAAATTTCTGCTCATCAAAAGGCAGAATATACTGAGTATCCCTAAGTCACAAGGCCAAACTGCTCTGGAATGAAAATGATCTCTAACCATCCCACTTTGGATTTCCAGGTTAGGGATGCTCAACAAGTCTTTGCAAATGCTACAACTCTAGACAAGTCCAAAACCACTTCAGGACCAGACCTTTTCCAACAAGGCATACTCAGCCCACATCAGGAAAGTGAAAATGTCAGCCAGAGATGCTGGAAGACATCCACACATACTTACACCTGCAGCTTTATATTATTTCAACTTGGTAGCAAGACTAACCTGTTTTTATTAGCTAGAAACCATATGATACTTTACAAAAATAACACACAAGGATTATCAAAAGTAGATGAAAAAGTTCTCAACATTTTAAGTCACCAAGGAAATTAAAACTACCATGAAATACCTCCTCATTCCCATTAGAATGGTTCAAACCAAAGAGACGGACAGCGTTGGAGAACTGTTTGATAGTTAGGTATTGATCCAAGGGCAGACCGCATTAGAGAACTGTTTGATAGTTAGGTATTGATCCAAGGGTATATATGTCACAAAAAGACCTTAAACAAGGCTGGGGGTGTGGCTCAGTGGCAAATGCACTTACTTGCCTAGCTCCAATACCCAGCCACCCCGCCCCCGCAAACACACACACACACACACACACACACACACACACAAATCTTATAAAGCAAATGCAGCTGACTCATAATAAACACTTTCTGAAAATAAACAAAACACCCAGCAATAAAAAAATGAGTAAGTGGTTTGTGGAAGACTCAGACAATGAAAAATAACTCTCAAGAAACAGGAAAGGAATACTAATATAAGCAACAACACAGATGAACCATGAGTCTCAAAGCCTTGTTGGAGGTTCCCAGAGCTTTGGAGGCAGAGGCAGCAGATCTTTCTAAATTCAAGGCCAATCTAGTACAGAGAGAGAGAGAGAGAGAGAGAGAGAGAGAGAGAGAGAGAGAGAGAGAGAGAGAGAGAGAGAGAGAG